GGAACAGTCAGATAAGAGACGGCATAGCCCACAGCTGGATAATGGATGGGGCAAGAGGCTCAGAAGGGACCCTCCCTAGTTTCTTGGGCTGTGAAGGAGATGGTGGGAGATCTGTACTTTCAGACTTGCAAGATTCTGTTCATGTAGCTTTACAATAAAGTAGAATTAGCTCATCTGGTTGTGTTTCCTGTCTGATCTACCTGGTAAGGCATTCTAAACTACTCTGAGATTTCTGGGATTTCTCCCATTCAAGTACTAACCAGATCCAACCCTGCTTAGCTACTAAAATGTTTCTCATCCCTGATCTAGTTGTACCCATTTCTAGCCTACCGTCCTGTCTCTTCCTCTAATGTTGCAAACCAACAGCACTGGGAGAAGTACTACTGAGAGAGGTGTTGTGTAGGTGGTTAACAGAGTTTTAAAAGCAGAGCACCTATGAGCAGTTACTTCTTCCTCAGGGTAAGCTAGTCTTCAAGAATGGCCGTGTGTACGAAGGCGAATTTAACTACGATCACATAGTGGAGTGTCCAGCCTTGCAAATTGACATGACAAATATGGAAGAACTGAGCAACCAGGGTCTGAAGGGCTCTTCTGGCATAGGTGAGTTGCTTCAAAATAGATGGAGGAAAAAATTAGACTTGATGACCATTGTCTAAGGTGCTCCATTAACCCTGAAGACGTCTGGTGACTTCATGGACATAGGTGGTCCATCCCAATCTTAACCAGGTCATACCTTGCTTAGTTTTTTTGAAATCAACCACGATTAGCTAGGTGCTGCTGGGAAATTTAATTGACGTAATGTCTATCTGAACTTTGTTTCCACAAGTTTTCCCCCACACTCTTGAAACGTTCTCAGCTCGTAGAATGTCATAAGTAAGTTTCAAAATACTGAAGAAAAGAATGCATTTGAAAGGTGTATTTTGAAAGAATGGGAGTATGCGTTTAAAGCCTTTTTTAAAAAATGGGGATTTGCTTGTTTATCCTTCCTGTAGGTGTCCTCGGTTTCCAGGACTGTGTCTTACTTTCAAAAAAGACTGTAGTAGAGAATGGATGCATTTGTCGTTTTCTCTTTTTCATTGTCTAGATAGTATCAAAGTTGTTGATCACCCAGGAAGTTCATCTACATCAGGGCCAAACATTGAAATAGATCTGTCAACTTTGCTGGCCTTATTTCCAGAAAAAGATAAGGAAGATGAAATCAAACAGGTACAGGATGCCTCCCCACGGCTGATCTACACAACCATAAAGCCTAGGAAGATAGAAATAAACCAAAGACACTAACAAAAAAAGTTAAGAAGGATGGTTCTTCAGCAAGAAGCACTACAGCACGAGTGAGGAATTGGAAACCTTTTCAAGCATTGAGAGTGTTGTTGCAATGAAGAAAAGAACGGCCAAACTCTTATGATGTTTGGAAGTGGTATCTATGATTTTACACAGTCCAGAACAATGTTTCTCAACCTTGGCAACTTTAAGAAGTCTGGACTTCAGCTCCCAGAATTGC